CCCTCGATTGAAGATTCTGAATGGCTAGAATTCGGCATTGCATCAATTCCGAAACGTGGTCTCTATTCAGATGTTGATGAAAACGCGCCGCCTAAAGTACACATCATATGCGCGAGTGTTGATGGGGTCCCAGTCAAAGCTGAGATCACCACTGCAGCAAAAGGGATTTTAGGTGCTACTGCCGGAGCCGCACCTTTCGAGGAAATTGGCAGCAAAAAATGGCTCTGTTGGGGCAGAGTTTATGCCAGCCCATCGGCCGGTCGACCGATGGTTATAGATTATATTGTAAAGGAGCAAGATGGTGTCTATGGGAATAAGGAGCAAAAATGGAGAGAATCATCAGCGCTCGATATTCTTCTACCGACGTTCTTTGTCTCTGTCGGACGATTAGAAGTCTACATGGATGTTATCCCCGGTAAGTCCGCCTTTTCTCATGTTTAAGTTCAACTTGACGATCTGTCATTTAGGTATAGAAATCACTTCTCTGCGTTCCAATTTTGATTATCATAATGCATTACCAGAAGGCAATCGGCTACTGCGATTCTCTGTCAAGGAGCATTCTCAACCGCAGCTATCTCTTATTATGCGGAGATTGACCACCAAACATAGCCTCTTTCTACCCGGGTTGAAGTGGTATTTTATACTGACATGGGCCATTCTTCTGGTCGCCTTTTTCTCTATATATGGCATGCTACTTGACATGCGTCGGTCTCGGAACCCCAATTATCGACAGTTCAATTCACTGGACCATTGGATAGAAATTCCAACAGTGACAGCTACAATGACCGTCTATGCAAACTCTGGAACACGCTGGTGGTTCGAGGAGTCTCCTACCGAAAGCTTACCTTCTTCCACCCTCTCACAAGCTTCAATCCCTCCAACAACCTCCATGGAAGGCACCGAATACGTCGAAACATTAGTAATAGCAACAATACAACCATCACCCACGGCCATAATGGAAACGACTCTCATGAGTGCCCCTACATTCTCAATCTTGGACACATATGGCTTGGCCCCGATAGATAATTTATTTACATTCACATGGTCTGATGAACATCTTGATGCTCTCAAGCGGGCTCTTGAGAAGGTTGTTGGAACAGTGGAAGCCGTCTGGAATATCTTTAGAAAAGTGTATCACTACCCACTGGATCCTCCATAGGACTCCTGCTATGAACTCCTTGATATTTAATGCTTATATTATACATATGTTGTGTGTATTATGTATAACTAGATGATCGATGATCTTCAATCGTAATGGTCTTACCATCGAGTCGCGCTAGTACGAGGGCGTCTTGATTTTATGCCAGGAAAAATGGCCTCCAGTCAAATAACTGATCTCCTTCAGTACTTATAATTAGCGAGAATGAGTAGCCATTTAAAGTCACGTGAAGACGCGTACGTCTGAGGCTTACGCGGTCGCCTGTACTCAATACCTCTCAATTACTACCTTGAACTCGCAATGGCCACGCCAAATGTATACCGCTCTCCTGGTTTTGATTTTACGAATGAGATAAGGTGGGATTGAACGAACCTTGTCGTCTTCAACTTGCCAAGTTAATCTTGGTCCTAGAAACTCCTTCCTGGTGGAGAAAGGTCTTCCGTTGCCTAAGGCTACCAGCACGGGAACAACAATCGTTGGCTGTCTTTTCAAAGATGGAATCGTTCTGGGTGCAGATACTCGAGCAACGGAAGGTCCCATTGTGGCAGACAAGAATTGCGAGAAGGTACGATGTTACTACTATCTTTTCCATCCATGCATGATCTTACCTGGCCTATTCTAGATCCATTATATCACCGAATCCATTAGATGTTGCGGTGCTGGAACAGCAGCAGATACCGAATTTACTACTGCTCTCATTTCATCGAACATGGAGCTTCACGCTTTGCAAACAGGCCGCAAGCCTCGCGTTGTGACCGCAATGACCATGTTGAAGCAAATGCTATTCAGGTTTGTCCCATATACTGGACGAGACATTACTCCTAGTGAACGTTAAAGAATTGCAGATATCAAGGCAACATCGGAGCAGCCCTGGTCCTTGGAGGAGTTGACTCTACTGGACCCCATTTATTCACCATTCACCCCCATGGTTCAACGGACAAATTGCCATATGTTACAATGGGTTCAGGAAGCTTAGCGGCAATGGCTGTCTTTGAAAGTGGTTGGAAGCCCAACATGGAGGCAAGTTTGTGCCTCTCTTTTAGCCTTGGGCTGTTCTGATTACTCTATAGCGCGAAGATGCTTTGAATCTGGTTAAAGCCGCTATTGCTGCTGGTATCTTCAACGACCTGGGTTCAGGTTCCAACATAGATGCATGCATCATCACTGCTAGCCACACAGAGATGCTCCGAAACGTGGAAATGCCAAACGAAAGAGTCCAGAAAGAAAAGGATTACAAGTTCAGGAGGGGAACTACGGCGTGGAAGAAGGAAGATGTTCGAAAATTCGTTGTAGATGAGCAGCTGACGTTGATTGGGGGAGATGAGATGGACACCTCATAATTAATAGATAGATTGATGCTTGTTTCCGACTCTCGTCTTCATTTCACGTGTACAACTTTGGAAAGTCCTATCGTAAAGATACTGACGTTTTCGTCTGAACAATCTTTGTTTGGTGGCTTGTCCCTAGACATGACGTCGGCGAGAAAGTTGCAAGTTAACTCATGTCTTCTTCGGACTCTCTATTCAACACCCTGCCACATCATGTCCAAAACGCGATTGACGACGCGTTTACCAACACCGTCATCTCCAACGATGCACAGTCTCATCAAAGGAAGTCCGAAAGACCTCAAGCAGCAGGTGGTTTTATCGTTGAACCTCCTGGAGGCGGCTTTCTCTCGAATACCGTGACAGACTCTAACACGGAGCCCGACGTGTCTAAGATACTATTTGACCTTATACCTTCTGCTCTCCAACGCCTCGATCTTCCACCTGATGATGAAGAGGTTCTATCAGTTTTCAACAACGCCGCGTCTGGTTGGACAGCTGTGTCGCTTGGGGTGGCTTATGCTGATCCTCAAGCAAAATACGTCAGTAGAGACGACTGGCGCTCTGTCTGCGCCGTTTTGCTTGAATATCATACTGGCGAAAGTGACGAACAAAATAACACGTCGCAAATTGAAGAGGACGGGGTATTCCCTAGTGATGACTATGCCGAAGAACAGTCTAGCGACAACTCTATGGATGACAGTTCAGACGAATATCAAGAAGGCAATTCGCCCTCACGCGTCCGTCATACAAAGAAATCTCGAGGCAAGAATCATGCCAAATCATCCGGCCTTCTTTCAACGAACCCAACCAGCCGTCAACGGCAAACTTGCTTAGATGCGTTCGCTTTGTTTTTCCCAGATGTTCCGCCTGAATTTTTGGAAGGGCAGAAAATAAAAATTGCCGATCTACAACGTGTGTCTAAGCTTTTAGGAGAAAAAATAAAGGGAGACGAGGTGTTTCCATTTCTTTTTCTTACTCATCGTCGTCCATTTTCTGATGAACAATTAATCACAGATGTTGGAAATGCTCGAAATGTTCTCAACCTCTGCGGATAAAGCAATGGACATTAACAGCTTTACTAGAATGATGATTACAGCAAAACTAGCCTAAGGGAAACGATCGTACACTGCACTGGCTTTTTCTGCCTCGTGTCTCCTGGTTCTGTGAAATTAAAATAAATTTTCAGCGGTTTGTGATCATAATGAAACGGAAAAGCTGACAACATGATCAGAAGTCCGTGACGTCTCAATCATAGATGCAAAGATTGGATTCAGTATGCTAAATTCTAAGCTTTCGTCATTCGTCTCATCATCAATGTCTTCCATTGAGATCAAGCCATCTTACCCTCTTATCAAAAATCTATTGCAACCAAGTGGTCAATGATGGAAATGTTCATCTGATGCTTTGATTGTTCTGAGCAGGGACTATTTGAAAGATGCTGAAGTGGAGCAAGCCGTGCACGTTCTTATGGACGCATTTGAGGGTATGGTTTGCTTTCATTTGATCTCCAAAATGGTCGAAAATATAGGCATCCATCCGGGTCCACTTAGGAGATCCTTTCTCGGCCATTTTACTAGGCGAAAATTTAGATCTGGAGTATCAACAGTTACGCGCCAATGTGAAAGCTGCATTGATTGGAGGCCAAGTTCATGTTATTGCTATCGGACCTCAGGCAATCGATATTGTTGGTGTGGCGATCTGGTGTCCCCGGGGATCTAGTGCTTTTTCGAGGTAAGTTGGTCCTCTTTATATTCGAAAGGAACGTACCAATTAAAGACATTATAAAGCGAGGAAGCACGGGCAGCAGGATGGAACAAGTTCCTGGAAACCATACCTGACTCGCTCCGCAAGTGGTGGGTGGACTACGTAGGTCGAAAGATCTACTTTTTCCAAGACAAACTGAGGACTGCTCAGTTTATTCCCAGTCTCCAAATTATCCACCGATGCCCTTGGTTCTGGATATCTCCTTAATTCATGGCATCTCCATATATTTGGCGTGATGAAAGCAAACAAAACCTAATGAACACGTCGGCTTTCAGGCAAGACAGGATGACAAACCACTTGTCCTAGAGACTACGACTGAACTTTGATGTAAGCTGTTTTCCACCACATAATGACACTCTACTTGGTTCCTACACTCTTATTTTGCAGGTTAACATTTACAAGTGACTGGGATTTCAAGTTTGCGGCGAGACCTCAATTGTCAGCCCTGTCTCAAATGCACACATGCGGCTGATGAGCAGGGAAGCCGTGTCTTAAGATCATGGCTTTCTATTATCATTATTAACTCCAGGCCAACTTGATTTGTTACGAGAATAAGGTCGAGTAGAAAATAGAAAATAGTTACCCTCGAAGATTACAATACTTAAAAAGGTAGTTTATTGTGGTCGAATTTAACATTAGATGCCACAACTGTATGTAAGAGACGATCGTTCAGCGTCCATTAACATGAATTGATTGGGTACGAGTTGGGCACCAGCAACATAGGTGCAAGCTAAAAATAGCCCTTCATAGGCGCTATAGCCAAGTGGTTACGGCGACAGATTAGAATGGGATTCCAACCTTCCGAAACCTGCTATCTGTTCCTCTTTGAGGGCGCAAGTTCAAATCTTGCTGGCGTCGCTTGATTTTTTCCTTACATTTTTATGTTACTGTAGACCTGTTAGGAAGTTAGGGAGCCGTGAGAGTTTGCGTTAGATGGCGTGACTGGTAAGGTCCTCACGTTGCTTGCTTTTTTGGGAGTTGCTGCTTCCATTGTCGGAATGTTCAACTTCATTCCTCGACCACAACCAAAGCCTCCCAATATCTTGCGTGTCTTTTCCTCACAACGACCACGACCGGCATTACTCTGTTCCCATAATACATACAGGACCATGGCCACAACCGCAGAGGGAAATTGGTTACTAGTCGAGAAACCCGGTGCGAAACCTTATCGTGTCTTCACTAAACCAATCGTCAGATCGGAACAAGACGATAGAGATTATCGGATAATACAACTAGAGAATGGTTTGAGAGCTACCTTAGTGCACGACGAGAAAGCCGACAAGGCAGCAGCAAGCCTCGATGTCGCAGTAGGGCATCTTTATGACCCTGTATGTTTCATATGTTTCGTTCTTCATTTCACATCTGACCTATTTGCCACAGGACGACATGCCAGGATTGGCTCACTTTTGCGAGCATTTGTTATTCATGGTGAATTTTTTTTTACTGACAAATACATTCTTCGCATTACCAACCTTTTTTCTGTCAGGGTACTGAGAAATTCCCTCAAGAGAATGAATATTCAGAAGTAATTCATGTAATTTCTATCACCAATAGAGCTTTCTCAAAGACGTTTTCTTACAGTATCTCGCCAAGAATAACGGAAGTTCCAATGCTTATACTTCGACGTCGAACACAAACTATTATTTCAATGTGTCCACTTCTGCTCTCCCTGGCGCATTGGAACGATTCGCGGCCTTTTTTCACTCTCCATTATTCTCTCCGTCGTGCACTTCGCGAGAACTTAATGCTGTAGATTCCGAGCACAAGAAGAACCATCAAGCGGATATGTGGCGAATTTTCCAATTAAACAAACATCTCACTCGGCCGGATCATGTATGGTCGAAATTTGGCAGTGGCAGTCGTGATAGTTTGTCGAAAGCCGCAAGGGAACTCAAGGAACAAGGTGAACTGGGAGAACACGTACCACAAGCGAATGCCATTGCAACCCCCATTCCGTCTCGTAAGGCCTCTCCAGCTCCTTCAAGCAGTAGTGAAACCGAGGCCGATGGTGGTTTAGTTGGTCGCGAAATTCGACGCCGGCTAGTAGAATGGTGGAGTAAGGAGTATTGTGCGAGTAGGATGCGTTTGGCAATCGTTGGGAAGGGTGACAGTACTTCGCAAAAGGCAAACTTTCATTCGCTTATATTGTTTCCCTCAGATTCGCTAGATGAACTCGCCGACCTCGCCAATACTTTATTTTCTCCTATCCCGAATCGAGGACAAGAGGCGCTGCCAATGATACACGAACACCCATTCGGTCCAGAACAAAAAGGGGTACGTGTTATGATCAGCAGTTGCCCTACCACGCAGAATTCACACTTTTATTTACAGACCTTAGTTTCTGTGCAGACAATCATGTCGTTCTACGCTGTGGAGATATCTTTTCCGCTGGAATATCAGCCTCCCTTCTGGCGATATAAACCAATCAATCTCATTTCTCACTTTGTTGGCCATGAAGGACCTGGTTCTTTGCATTCATATTTGAAAAATAAGCACTGGGTGACGTCCTTGAGTTCTGGTCCTCAGAATCTGGCCCGAGGATTTGCCATGTTCAAAGTAACGATTCATCTCACCCCGGATGGATTTGGTATGTGACATGTTCAATTGTCATATGCAGCTAATCTAATCAAATTTCCAGCAAATTATCGTTCTGTCATTCTAGCGACCCACAAATATCTTGCCTTATTAAGGTCAACCCAGTTTGAACCGTTTCATCATCAAGAGGTAGCGAAGCTATCTACTATTCGATTCCGCTTCGCGGAGAAGAAACGCCCAGATGACTATGCCACATGGATATCTGAACATATGGCATGGCCGATACCAGAAGACTTGTTGCTATCTGCTCCCCGTCTTACTTTGGACTGGGAGAGCGAGGCCGATAAACAAGAGGGAGAGGCGAAAATCATGGAATATCTCAATCACTTCACAATAGAGAACAGCAGAGCTGTTCTCATGGCTTCCCGCAGTGACCATCTCAAACTACAGCAAGACCTAACATGGGATAAGGAACCATGGTATGGGACTGAGTACGCTGTACAAAAGTTTGAGGATGACTTTGTGAACCAGGCAAGTTGCTATAGCTATACATGAATATCAGGCAACAGTAACATACTTTTAGGCCAATGGCGTTAATGACATACCCGAACTCTTCCTTCCTGGACCTAACGAGTTTATTCCCTCGAACTTGGATGTTGAAAAGAAGGAGGGGATCGAGGTACGTTCAGCCGAAATTCCTATCCGTCGTATCTCTTATATTCTGTTCTAGCCTTTAAAGCGACCTCACCTTATTCGTCAAACTCGACTTTCTTCACTTTGGCATAAGAAAGACGACAGATTCTGGGTTCCCAAAGCACATGTTGTAATTGACATCCGAAGGTTTGATTTTAATTCAAGCTTGCCCGTGCTGATATCTATTAACCATTTGCTAGCCCATCTGCAAATGCCTCTGCTAGGGCGGCCGTCATCACAAGGTCTGTTCCTTGGATCTCTATTCAATTTTTTTGATAACACATACCACTGGCCAGGCTTTATTCGAACCTAGTCAACGATTCCTTGACAGAATTCTCTTATGATGCAGACCTTGCAGGCCTGTCATACAATTTCACACCACATACAACTGGCCTATTTGTCTCGATGAACGGCTACAACGATAAGATGATAGTGCTCGTACGGCATGTTTTAGAGAAGGTCAAAGGTCTTGTGATTGATCCCCAGAGACTCGCCGTCATTAAAGAAGAAGTACGTTTCTGTCAGTTTTGGAAGAAATAACGGCTCAACTAGGATCAGGCTCGGAGAGAATGGGAGAACTTTTTCCTCGGACAATCATATTCCCTATCTGACTATTATGGCCGCTATCTTATGGCCGAACGACATTGGACAGTAGATGAGAAGCTAAAGGAACTTTCTTGTATGTGTTTTGGAGTGTTAAACAATGGCGTTGAATTAATGTCGAGTTAGCTATCACGCCCGAGGACGTTCAAGCTCATGTCAAGCAGCTACTTTCGCAAGTCAGTTTGCGTATTTTGGCTGCGGGTAACATGTACAAGGATGTTAGTTGTCTTTTTATTTCTATCACTAGGCCAGGCACCTTATCACTTGTGGCTTCAGGAAGCAATCAAGATAGCAGAGATGGCGGAAGAAGGCCTAGGAGCCTCGTCGCTTTCCTCGACTGAATTAAATGACCGTTGCCTTATCCTACCTAAAGGTATGGTCTTTACTGCTGTTTGAGAATATATGACTCTGACTGGGGCTGCTTGCTGTAGGATCAAATTTTGCTTATTCTACTGCTTTGCCTAATGTTAATCAGGCAAACTCGGCTTTAACCTACTTTACCTACTATGGTCCGGTCGTCGATCAAAAGTTACGGGTGACATCTGCTCTGCTTACTCAAATAATGAGTGAACCTACCTTCAATGTTCTGCGCACGAGGGAACAACTTGGTTATATTGTCTCCTGTTCCTCTTGGACCTTACCAGGTTCGAGTGAAAAGGGTGTTCGTATCGTCGTACAGAGCGAGAAAAAGCCAACGCATTTAGAAGGTCGTGTTGAAGCATTCTTGGATGAGATGAAGAACAAGCTGGAAGAAATGACGGACGAGGAGTTCCAAACGCACAAAAGTGGTTTAGAAAAGAAATGGCTCGAGGCTGACAAAAATCTGGGAGACGAAGTGGCCAAGTTTCTCTTCCATGTTAACACGGGTCACTTTGACTTCTTAAGGAGTGAGTAGTTCTTGCTCATCTTCTTTTACATACCTAACAGTATCGTTGCAGATGAAAAGGACGCAGAGTTTTTGAGAACGGTCACTAGAAATGATGTCTTCCACTTGTTCATGTCCCAGGTCCACCCATCCTCTACGACACGTGCCAAACTTTCAGTGCATATGGTTTCTCAGAAGCCGCGCCCGAAAAGCGTTAGCCGCCCTGCTGCTGCAGCATTCGAGTCGCTTGTTCGCCAAGCTTTCCCCGACCTTGATGACAAGACGTGGAAGCCCTATGTCGGTGACGGTGAACCCACTATCATTGAATTCGGCCAGCATTGGTTAAAAGCCCTGAATTCCGACGAGGGTAAAAAACTTCTGGCCGAGTTACCGCGGTTGGTGGAGGAGCATCCTGTAGACGAAGATCACGACGATGGACAGCTAAGCGGCGTCACATATATCAAGGACATGAAAGCATTCAAGGACACTCTGGAACCTTCGATTGACCCAGGACCTATGGTGGAATGGAATGACCTCCCCGTCCCTCGTTTCTGATTTATCTTGACTGATTCAAACTCATTTACGTATCACTTCGAGCCATAGTGTGTATATTAGATTTGTAAATCGTATTGCTTTCGATGACCAGCTTCCTTAAGAAGCACCATTATAATGCAAACTGAAGCGAGGGGATGTAAATGAATATACAATTAAGTCATGGAAATGCGACGACGAACAAACGACTTGTGCGGGTAAAAAGCAAGCTACAAAGGTCCATCTGGAGTCGAGGAAAGAAAAGATGTACATGGCACGGGAGCTAAACGCACAAGCGTGTTACTTCCGCCTCACATCTTTGAATCGCGCTTGTGGTTGAGTTGGTGCCACATAATTTTTTGGGCGTCTGAAGAGTAATACATGCGGCTCCGGAGCTAGTCAAAGAATGAGGACGCTAAAGATGACAAATACAAGTAAATGGACGCACCGTGCACTTCGTAATGTTCCCAACCAAGACTCTGTGTGATACCAATACCTCTCCATTCCTGCTCGGTGAGCAATCTGAGTACACCGGATTCGTCGGGGTTAAAGTAATCTTTGGGGATCATCTTCAGAAGTTGCTTGGGTAATATTACATGGCGGTATTCGAATTCGTCGTCAGAATATCTGT